GGAACCCCCCGGCGCTTGCACCCCCGCCCGCCTCCGCCTCCGCCTCCGCCTCCGTACATCACAACCACCTGAGGAGGCGCCCGGGGTTTCGGGAGGGCAATGCGGGATTGCCAAAGGCTGTGGAGACTGCAGCCGAGGCTGGTGCCTGCTCACAAAGGCCCCGTCCCACAGCTCAGCCCATCGCCTCACAGGGGCGGCGAGGGAAGGGCCCCGCAGGGCAGCTGTGAGGAGATGCTTTGAAAGGCGCAGCAGATGAGGTTGCGGGGCGCGGCCAAGGCGACCCAGAAGTAGGGCGCCGCTGAGGGCCTTTACCCCCAAACCACAGTGCGTCGCCCACCGACCACGACCCACGACGCAGGCCGGTTTCCCGCCCAGTGGGCCTTACTTCCGCAGGGCGGGACTTCCGGTCGGAAACTACGTTTCCGCACGAAGGTTTGGTCTCCTGCTGTTCCTAAGGGCAGTCAGGAGGAAGTGTGGATGCAGGATTTTTAGGTGAAAGAAAGTAGTTTGAAGGGGGAATCCCCTAATCTGCTGTGTAGGTTTTAGGGAGTCCTCTCCGTAATGGGATGCGCCCACCCCAAGCAATTAGGAAAGCAAACTCAGGGCTTGAGGGCGGATAGAGGCCGGCTCTGGGGAGGCAGCTGCAGGGAACGCATGCGTGCAGGAACTGGAGGCCGTTGGACAGTCAACGGGCCTGCAAGACTCGCTCCCAGCCTCCCTTCCACGTGGCAGCCTGTCCCTTGCGCTATGCAGTTTTCCCTAGTGTTGGGCATCCCATTGAGACACCCTCCCACAGCCAGGTGTGCACCTCACCATGAGGCCTAAGATCTGCCCAGACGCTTTTCCCTCTAGACCAAAGGACCAAGGGCTCTTGGGTCTCAAATGGGGCCGAGAACTAGCTTTTTCATGGTTTTCTGTCATCTCTTCCGTAATAAAATTCATTCTGCTGGAAGGTCTGGAGATGGAAGTGGTATACTATCAAGGGGCAGTGCCTGCTGTGGGAAAAGTTAAAACAAAATCCATGAGGTTCTTGGCAAATTAAACAAGTTTTCATTTTAGGAGATATTGTCTTTTGGGATGACTTGCAGCCAAACTGGGGATGTTAAAGTACTGAGTCTTATAACACAATCTTCCGTCTCAAATCAAGTCGGAAACTGAGTAGTGCTCTCTTTTCTGGACTTCCAGTTTGCTTCTACTTCCATCTTATATTTTAAGACTTGATGTAAATATGAGGACGGCCTTCTAGTGTAGCAAGGTTCAGCTCTGTGCATAGAGAGCCAGATCCCACAAGGCCAACTGTGGTTCAAATTCTGGTTGAAAATCATGCTATGCCCAAAATCTTGATAAAATGGAGAAACAGGAAAAAGGATTATGATGTGACCACACACACACCATACTGGCAGGTGTTTCTGGCAACTGAAAAAAAAAATATATATATATACGTGTGTGTGTATATATATAGATAGATACACATGCGTGTGTGTATATATACTCTATATATAGATAGATACACATGCGTGTGTGTTTCTATACTGTCTCTCTGGTTAATTAAAATAATAAAACTAATTAACTTTTTAAAAAGAATGATCTAATTTTATTATTTTTTAAAAATTTGCTATAGGGCACATGTGCTTATAAGAGAGAGACAGAGACAGAAATTGAGAAAGCAAACTACCGGGTCCGGGACTCAAAGCATGGTCAGCAATATGGGAGTCCAGCACCCCAACCACTACACCACTTGCTGGCCCCAATAAATAACTCTTTTTAAAGAGATATATAATATGGGTAGAATGACCCCATAAATTTTCAAGCACATGTAGGTAGCAAAACTAGTTAATATCACATACAAGAAAAACAGGATGGCCCGTTTGTTGATAAAAGTATCTATCATTGCGGGAACCAGCAGTTAGCGTAATGGCTATGTCACTGGACTCCCACGTAGTCGACCGCAGTTCGCGTCCTGGACCCAGTGGCTTAAACTCACGCCGGGCGCATGTGTGTGCGTGCCCAAGATCCCGAGAGGAGAATGGAGGAGAAGGGATTGCGGCATGGCCATTCCCCCTGGGGGGTGATTTCTCGCTTTCTGTCTCTATGTCTCTTTCTGTCTGTCTGGCAAGCACATGTGCCCTATAGCGAAAACCTCTCAAAAAAAAAAAAAAGTATATATCATTGGGACCAACAATTAGCGTAATGGCTATGTTGCTGGACTCCCATGTAGTCAACTGCGGTTCGAGTCCCAGACCCGGTGGCTTAAACTCACGCTGGGAACATGTGCGTGCGTGCCCAAGATCCCAAGAGGAGAATGGAAGAGAAGGGATTGCAGCGTGGCCATCCCCCCTGGGGGGAGATTTCTCACTATCTCTTTCTGTCACTTTCTGGAGAGCACATGCACCCTATAGCAAAAACCTCTCCAAAAGAAGGAAAAAAAAAAGTATACATCATTAAATATTCATAAATTCTACTTGCTTTAATAATGATGGTCCTAAAATGTCCATGGCTAAAACTTATATATGGCTTAAATTCATTATTTAAGATGGTAAAAAATATTTTAGGTTATTCCTAATAAAATATGAAAGATATCTATGATAAGTAATTATGAAATAGCAAGTCAGCATTAATGTACTCAAACAGAAATAGGTAAGTGAGTGGATCCTGTAGCCTAGTGGGTAAGGAGGCAGATCCCACATGGCCGGCTACAGTTGGAATTTCAGCCCTAGTGACTTGAAAAACAATGTGTTTGTATGCTTAAAATCCTGAGAGGATGGAGAAATGGAGAAGGGATCATGTGATGTGTACTTTCTCCAATCTTTCTTCTCTGGCAAGACACCCACCCTCTGACAATTAAAAAAAAGTAAGGGAAAGAAGGGAGGAAGGAAAGAAGGAAGGAGGATAGAAAGGAAAGAAAGGAAGAAAAAAATGTAAAAAGGGGGAAAAAAGGAAGAAAGAAATGGAGAGCTTTTATTTCTCTGAGAAAATAACTTTCCTTCCCCAACCAAACAAAGAACAAGACTACATTATTACAAATGAGAAAATGTTTATTAAGGAAACAACTTAATAGCTCTCCTTGAACAGAATTTTACAGACTAGAGCACACCCTGAGAGCAACTGCAGTTGCAGTCATTAACACACTACACAGGGTACTTGTTCTACAACTGGAAAGTTGCTGAAGTTTGTGACATGCCACTATAAATGTAAGTATTATTAAAAATTACGAACTGTTTGGTGATAATTTTGATAACTTCTTGAGCAGCAGCTCCTGCAAGGAAAAAAAGAAAAAAGCAGATCTTTGAAAAAAGGAAATGTCAAAAGTTATATAAAAATATTTAAATCCGAAAGAGACCTTTCCTTTCTGAAGGGAAAGGTGTTTAAAAGAAATCCAAAATAGAAATAGGTTACTAAGTCATATCAAAATAAAAAACTATGATTCTTTATAGCTGTTATATTAAAGGAAATAAAAAGTTTGTTTTAGACAGTCACACAGCAGGATATTAGGCCACAGTTTTAAATAATTAAGTATTTTAAATTTTGGTTTAGAAAAATGGGAAGATAGAGTAATTGAACAAAGTCTAAACACTAGTAGCTTGATCAAACTTTTTTGAAGGGTACACATAGGTATAAAGATTCTCAAAGGTCACCTTTCTGTTACATTTAAATTTTTCATTGTTCCTGGTTTGGTTTTGTTTTGTTTTTTAAATAAAAAAGACAGAGGTGGGGCCAGCAGGTCATGCAGTGGTTAAAGCGCTGGACTCCCATGTGACTGGCTGCAGAACTCACCCCCCAAGAATGCAGCAACAGTGTGTGGCTCCGCAGCTCCATATCGGCAACTACAAGAAAGGATGGAGGCATGAATTGGATTAGCCTATGACAGATGAGGTACTGTCTCTTACATGTCCTAAGAATACTCACAATTCATGGACATAATCATCTTTCACCATTACAGATAACCCATATTCCTGAAGGAAGCCGGTGAGACAAGATTTCAATTTTCCAATATCTTCTTCAACTTGATAGTTAGATACCCCTAAAAATATAAATTAATTTTCATGAAAATGTGATTCCAAATTAATGACCTCTTTTAATACAGAAAGCTATAATCAAAGAGACCAACTAAAATCCATTTAATAATTCAAATTCAGGGGCCAGCCCCATAGCACAGTGCTTAAGCACTGTGTGTAGTAGGAAGCCAGTTCCCACATGGTTAGGATCCCGGCCCTAGTGGCATGAATACACTGGGTACATGTGTGCCCTAAATCTCAACAGAACAGAGAAACTGAGGAAGAAAGGATTATGGCATAACCACATCCCATGGGGGACTTGCTTTCTCTATCTCTGGTGAGCATATGTACACCCTGAAAGTTAAAAAATAAATAAATAATTTAAGTCTTTGTCCACTGTTTCATAAAATTAGTGTTCAGGGGACCAGCAGATGGCTTAATGGTTGTGTTGTTAGACTCCCATGTAGTCGACTGCAGTTTGAATCCTGGACCTGGCAGCTTCAAACTCACACTGGGAGTGTGTGCTTGCATGCCCAAAAACCCCAGAGGAGAATGGAGGAGAAGGGACTGCAGTGTGTCTGTCCCCTCTGGGGGGTGATTTCTTGTTTTCTGTTTCTCCGCCGAGCACACGTGCCCTACAGCAAAAAGCTCTCTAAAAAAAAAAAACCACATACAAACAAAAACAAACAAAAAACTAGTGTTTAGAAGAATATCTGGCATAGAGTGCTCAATAATTATTTGATAATCTAATTCAATGAAGGGGGTGTTCTATTTATATACGTTTTTAAAAATTATGGTCTTCCAGGAACCCTCAATATGGTCCTGACACCACACTCCAATGCCTCACCCTGATCTCAACTAACACAGATCTCAGGTACACACATACATGAACACGTACATATCCCTGGCATGCTCAGGAGGTCCCAGGATGTGAATCCAGGACCTTCCTCCTGTGAGTCCAGTTGTGTTACCATTGTATGACCACCTGACCCTACCCAGCTATTTACATGCATAATCTCCCCTAATGTAGAAAGCATCAGAAGTCCATGAAAAACAGCAGGTACTTAAAAGGGAAATTTTGATTACAAAATATAAGCATTACACTGGCTCTGAAAGAGCCAGTGGGGCATATGAGCGTTATTACTAAGGAAATAAGCTTAAAGACACAATCATACAATTGTAAATGTAGGGGTTAAATCAGTTTTCTCCTCAGATCAAAACTGCAGTCTCTGTAGTTTGACAGCACAGAACCTTGAGGAGCTTTTAGGAAATGTCAGGGCAGGCTTAACAACACCATCCACTGACTCTCATCTAACAGAGATTTCTCCACATCATTGGGACAGTGCCTAACCTTCCTCAGAGCATTGGCTAAATCTGTAGGACTGAAATACTATTTATAGTAAGCCTTATTATTATTGTCAAACAGATATTTGGAAAGCAAAATAAAAGCAAAAACAAAACAAAAAAAGTATGGTCTTTATTATTCATTACTAAGAGACTGACACTGAGGACATAAAGCTATAAAATAATAGATAACATTTATTGACCATTAATAGATGTCGGACAGTGTTGTAAGTGATATATACACACACACATACATACACACACACATACACTTGAAAAGAATACTTACGAGACCAGCAGATGACGTAAAGGCTATGTCACTGGACTCCCATGT